GGACAATATCCACATGCGGGTTGCTTGGGCTGTTACAGACGCCAGGGAGTTGGCCGAACTGCGATGACAAAATGCCGAGCTCCGAGGTCTTAACCAAACATATGTGCCATCAACCCTTACTCTCCAAGAGGAGTCGGCATATCACGCCCCGACCGACCACGTGACCCAAACTCCTGTCAGCTCATTGATAGTTAACAAGGCCGATACCACCGCTCACTCCCTAAGGAACATTTAAACGTTTTCCTGACCCAGGCAACCCTCTCCACTCAGGACGACTCGGCTTTATGCTGAATATTTCCCACATCGCTGAAAGGAAGAGCTTTGAGTTGGTTTACGAGACTGCCGAGTGCCTCCATTGACTCGTTTGGTGAGTTGTCGTCCTAGTTCACCCTACAGTTTGCAACGAGTAAGCCGTACAAGACGACCTCATTAGCCTTGGCCGGGGTCCGTCAAGAAAAGAAAGAAAGCCTGAGAAGCTTCATGGACCGATTCAACAAGATTGCAATGGAGATTGGTGATCTTAATCCTGCCGTGGCATTGGACCGGCTAAGCACAGCCCTTAGGCCGGGGCCGTTCGTAAACAGTTTGTGCAAAAAACCACCCATTGATATGAATGACCTCCGACGAAGAGCCGAGAAGTATATGCAAATGGAGGAACTGGCTGAGACCCGAAACCAGGCCAGGGCCGAAGAGGGTTACGGCCGAAAGGAGCCAGCCCGAAAGCCCATGAAAAAAGCAAATGCCGAATCCTCGAGCACTCGACCGCCGAGAGGACCACGCTACACCGCCTACACCCCCTTGAATACGAGCAGGGTCAAGGTGATGGAGCAGGCCCTGGCTTCTGAAATCCTTGTAATGCCGAAGAGGGCGAACACTCCCCCAAGAGCCGATAAGGCGAAAGCGTGCCGGTTTCACCGAAACAGAGGACACTCGACCGAGGAATGCTCGGCATTAAGAGACAAACTCGAGGACCTCATCAAACAGGGCCACCTGTCAAGCTTTATTACCCCACAGAACCACCAGTCAAGAGGGAGTAACCGCCACCACTCACGTGAAGCACCCCCACCAAGAGACCGACGCCACCAATCCCGGTCAAACGAAAGGAGAGACCAGTCAAGGAATTCTCGAGAAGACGATGACCGACCGAGAAAGATAATAAATACGATAGCTGGGGGCTTCGCCGGGGGAGGTTCCACATCTTCGGCGAGGAAAAGACACCTCCGGGCCGTACGGTCGGTTAATAGTGTGAACCAGCCAAGGATGCCCAGGATGCCACCCATAACCTTCTCCGACCTAGATTTCCGGGGGGTTGATCCTGTTCAGGACGACCCCATGGTGATTTCCGTCAAAGTACAAAACTGCATCGTGAAGAAAACTTTGGTTGATCAGGGGAGCTCGGCCGATGTACTGGAATACATTTGTACAACTCGGAATCCCTGAGGAGAGCCTAGAGCCGTACCATGAGCCACTGGTAGGCTTCTCAAGCGAAAGGGTGATGACGAGAGGGTGCATCGACCTATACACCCGGTTCGGGTTCGATCAAAAGCCTTCCCGAGAGATCAAGATCCGCTACATCGTGGTGCACACAAACACGTCGTACAACATCCTACTGGGTCGACCCTCCATTAACGCCCTCGTAGTGATTGTCTCGACCCCACACTTGTGCATGAAGTTTCCGTCGAGAGATGGACAAGTGATAACCGTGCATGCTGATCAAAAAACGGCACGAGAAGGCTATCTCTCCAGTCTTAAGGTACAGCCATTGGCCGACTCCCCGAGGACGAAGGGTGTGAATGTAGTAGGGCAGCAGACCACGGAAGACATCGAACTCGATCCTCGGTTAGGCGAAGAACGAATCGAGCCAACCGAGGACCTCAGGCCTTTTCAGCTAGGCAAAACACCCGAACAAATCACAAATATGGGATCTCAGTTGAGCGAAGCCGACGCAAGACGAATCGAGTACGTTGTGAGGAATAACTGAGACTTATTCGCGTGGAGGGCATCAGATATGCCAGAGATAGACCCCAAGTTCTTATGCCACCGGTTAGCCGTATGCCGAGACGCGTGACCCGTCGCGCAAAAGAAAAGAAAGATGGGGGAGGAGAAGCGAAAAGTCGCGGACGCCGAGGTGAAAAAGTTGTTGGAAGCTAAATTTATAAGGGAAGTCAGGTACACGACTTGGCTAGCTAACGTGGTCTTGGTAAAGAAGTCGAACGGAAAATGGAGAATGTGTACCGACTACACCGACCTCAATAAAGCATGCCCCAAGGAGGCTTATCCACTCTCTTGCATCGACCGACTTGTCAACGGAGCGTCCGGGCACTCTATCTTCAGCTTCCTCGACGCCTATTCCGGCTACAATCAGATAAGGATGCACCCTTCCGACGAGGAGAAGACGACATTCATCACTGAGAACGCCAACTTCTGTTACCGAGTCATGCGTTTTGGATTGAAGAACGCTGGGGCAACCTATTAGAGGTTAATGGACAAAGTGTTCTAGGGGCAAATTGGCCGAAACATCGAGATCTACGTGGATGATATGGTGGTCAAGTCCAATTCTCTCGCCGAACACATCACTGACCTAGCCGAAATCTTCGGCGAACTCCGCAAGCACAACATGAGGTTAAACCCCAAGAAGTGTACTTTTGGGGTCAAGGGATTCTTAGGCTTTATGCTATCGGCAAGGGGCATAGAAGCGAACCGAGACAAATGCCAGGCCGTGCTGAAGATGAGAAGCCCAAGCAACCTCAAGGAATTGCAACGCCTCTCTAGAAGACTAGTCGCCTTATCCCGATTCCTCCCACGGTTAGGCGACAAAATTAGCCCGATGACAAAGCTCTTGTGGAAGGCGTCGGCCTTCTCGTGGGACGAACACTGCGAAACAGCCTTCACAGCCTTGAAGACGACTTTGACGACGCCACCGACCCTTGCGAAGCCTGACCCTCTCAGCCCAATACTGGTATATTTGGCCGTGTCCGAGGAGGCGATCAGCTCGGTTCTGGTGCAAGAAAGAGAAGGCAACCAAGCTCCCATGTATTTTGTCAGCCGACTGCTACAAGATCCAGAAACCCGGTACCAGTTGATAGAAAAAGTGGCGCTCGGTCTAGTACACACTTCCCGACGCCTACGCCATTATTTCCAAAGACACCAAATTGTTGTACACATCGACTGCCCCATCGCTAAGGTGTTAAGGAAGCCCGAACTCGCCGGAAGAATGATGGCCTGGTCGATAGAACTCTCGCAGTTTGACATCACCTTCAAACCGAGGGGACCGATCAAGGCTCAGTGTTTGGCCGACTTCATAAATGAACTTCACCCACAAGGCCGATTCGAGGAACCATGGTGGACCCTCCATGTCGACGGATCCTCAAACAGCCAGGGGAGCGGGGCAGGAGTGATCCTAGAAGGACCGAGAGGGATAACTTTGGAACAATCCCTGCGCTTCCAGTTCAAGGCCTCGAACAACCAAGCCGAATACGAAGCTTTATTGGCAGGATTAAGACTGGCCGAGGACATGGGAGCATCAAAAGTCAAATGTCGAACCGACTCCAAGGTGGTGGCCGAGCAAGTTAAGGGAAGCTTCCAAGTAAAGGATCACGGCATGATGAAGTACTATCACGCTTATCAAAAAATAAAAGCGGGCTTTCAGGAGGTGTCAGTCGAGCACATCCCACGCGAAGACAATGCCCGAGCCGACCAGTTGGCTCGGCTGGCCGCAACCAAAAAGGCAGGGCATTTAAGAACGATAATCCAACAAGAGATTGACCGCCCTAGTGTCGATGCAGAAATGGTGGCAAATGTCAATGCCGACTGTGCCAATCAAGACGATTCCCAAGACTGGCGAGCCAAAATCAAAGAGTTCCTCGTAAGTGGAAACACACCAACCGATCCGTCCGAAGCAAAATGACTAAGAACCCAAGCCGGCCGATACGTTGTCATCGCCGACCAGCTGTACAAACGCGGTTTCTCTACCCCGTTACTCAAGTGCCTCAACTCCGCCGAGGCTGATTATGTGACGAGAGAAGTGCACGAGGGTATATGTGGACTGCATTCGGGAGCGAGGACAACCGTTTCTAAACTCTTACGAGCCGGATACTATTGGCCGACCATGAACACCGACTGTGCTATGTTCATAAAGAAGTGTCAGCCGTGTCAAAAGCATGGCAATTTGATCCATCAACCGGCCGAGCAATTACATTGCATTTCCCCAGCATGGCCGTTCGCCACTTGGGGTACTGATATACTCGGACCTTTTCCGGTCGCCAAGGGCCAATGCAAATTTCTCATCGTTGCTGTCGACCTGTTCACCAAATGGATCGAAGCCGAGCCCTTGGCATGTATCTCGGCTCATCAAGTCCAAAAGTTTTTGTGGAAGAATATTATCACCCGTTTCGGTGTCCCACACACTCTTCTGACCGACAACGGCCTGCAATTTACCGACCGAAAACTAAACGAATTCCTAGCCGGCTTAGGAGTGCAGCACAAGGTCACATCGGTCGAACACCCGCAAACGAATGGTCAGGCCGAGTCAGCCAATAAGGTTATCCTTTCAGAACTGAAGAAATGTCTAGGGGAAGCAAAAGGAGCATGGGCCGAGCAGCTACTCGAGGTGTTATGGGCATATCGATGCACACCCCAGTCAACCACACAAGAAACACCTTTCCGGCTGGTCTATGGATCCGATGCGATGATCCTGGTGAAAATCGGAGAACCGTCATTCCGCCGAGCCCACTTTGACGAAGCAAGCAACGAAACCGAACTCCGAACAAACTTGGACACGATAGAAGAGATTCGTGACCGAGCACTAGTCGTAGCCGAGGCCACCAAGCAATGCTACAAGCGAAGATTCGACAGCAGGGTGAAACCAAGAGAATTTCGAGAAGGAGACCTCGTTTGGAGAGCCACATGCGAAGCAAGAAAAGATCCGAGACAGAGGAAGCTCGCCCTAAATTGGGACGGACCATTCCGCATCCGACACAACCTAAACAACGGAGCATTCAAGCTAGAATACCTATCAGGCGAACCTATTCCTAGGACATGGAATTCGACACACTTAAAGATGTATTACAGCTGATGTAATGGTGCACTCTTTTCCTTGACCGACTCTTTTTTCCCTAAGGAGGGTTTTTGGGTCGGCAAGGTTTTTAACGAAGCACTTCATTAATAAAAAGTTCAAAATTTCATCATAGTGTTTACGTTTTTATTCAATATTTAGGCCGAGAACTATCCCAACCACGACGAGGCCGAGCAATACTCGACCGACAACGACAAAGTGAACTCGTGCCAAACAGGTTTCCCTCCCGAGTACCCTCCTCGGCTAAGGATGCACCTAGGCCGAGCACTATCCCAACCACGACGAGGCCGAGCAATACTCGGCCGACAACGACAAAGTGAACTCGTGCCCAACAGGTTTCCCTCCCGAGTACCCTCCTCGGCTAAGGATGCACCTAGGCCGAGCACTATCCCAACCACGACGAGGCCGAGCAATACTCGGCCGACAACGACAAAGTGAACTCGTGCCCAACAGGTTTCCCTCCCGAGTACCCTCCTTGGCTAAGGATGCACCCAGGCCGAGCACTATCCCAACCATGACAAGGCCGAGCAATACTCGGCCGACAACGACAAAGTGAACTCGTGCCCAACAGGTTTCCCTCCCGAGTACCCTCCTTGGCTAAGGATGCACCCAGGCCGAGCACTATCCCAACCATGACAAGGCCGAGCAATACTCGGCCGACAACGACAAAGTGAACTCGTGCCCAACAGGTGTCCCTCCCGAGTACCCTCCTCGGAAAAGGATGCACCTAGGCCGAGCACTATCCCAACCACGACGAGACCGAGTAGTACTCGGCCGACAACGACAAAGTGAACTCGTGCCCAACAGGTTTCCCTCCCGAGTACCCTCCTCGGAAAAGGATGCACCTAGGCCGAGCACTATCCCAACCACGACGAGACCGAGTAGTACTCGGCCGACAACGACAAAGTGAACTCGTGCCCAACAGGTTTCCCCCCTCGAGCACCTGCTAACCTATAACGCCCGCTGCTGTACCATGATTTTAAGGCCGAACGGGTTCAAACCTAACACTTGCTAACCGAAAACTCACACCTAACTCGTTCAATCCAGAATTAAGGCACTTTTAAACCAAGCAAAATCTAACCAAGAACTCAAACGTCATACAGTTTCACGGCCGATCACTTTCAAACCAAAGCCCTTTATAATCAAAGCGTATTTCATTAAGTTTGGCCGATTAAAATGGCTACTTACAAAAAAAATCCTAACACTACCAGTTAAATCCTAGCAATATATACCGGCACCAATGGCCAAAGTTGCAAAAGGCGCTAACGGCCCGATTACAAAAAATCCTGACTACCAAGGCCGATCCCTATACGGCTGCCGAATCAGTAGGGTTCCCGTCGCCAACTACATCAATAATCGGATCCTC